GTTATCAACTTTTCTATTTAAACAGAACATGGATAATTTAAAAAAAAAATTCATTAGCTTGATGTCAAATTGCTTTGTGCCTTATATGTAGGTAGAATTTCTTTTCAAAAATAAATATTGTAAAATAAAATTAAAAGAAAAAACAACAACAATAAAAATGCACACATTCATGCACCCTTATCTTAAATTGTTAAGGTAAATATAAAGTTAACTTTGGCCAACAAACATTGTCAAAGCCACAAAGCCGGTATTGTCTTTACAACGCTCCGCAGGAGTGTGTGAGAGCTAAGGGAGTGGGGTGGGTGGTCTCAATCTTGTCACTAAGCTGAAGGTTTACAGGGCAATCGTCTTGCATAAGATGGCAGGACTGAGTTCCTGATGCAGAGGTCCTACAACGGGCCGATTGTATCAGCATCCACGCGCTCCAACGAAAAAAAAAGGACAAGCCAGATGGTCATGACATGTTGCAAGCATTGCCAGACAGCAGACTTCCGAAACGACTATTGTTCGGTGAACTCTCCAGTGTAAAGCGCTCAGTTGGTGGACAGAAAAAAACACACACAAAAAAACCCAGCTTAAAGACTGTCTGAAAAGCTTCTTTTAAATCCATGGACATTGAGCTTGATTCGTGGGAGACACTTACCATGGGCTGTGCGAGCTGGCGTGGCAGACTCACTGTCAGAGAAAACGCACCGCCCGCGCCCACAGAAAGTGCGTGGCAAGCAAAAGCAAAAAATCAACTCGAATCCTTCGTGCACCCAAAACAACGGTTGTCCCACGTGCGGGAAAGGTTTCCAGGCGCAGTTGGGGCTGGCAGACAGATTGCGTACTCACCGTGTAACACAGCCTTGGTCATGCGAAGGACGAGCAACAAAACACATTGTCATAAAAAGAATCTCTTTATCTAATGAACGTATTAACTAGCAAAGCGCAATGCTATGATAAAAAACATTTGAATTGAAAAAACAAAAAACCGTGGTGCATATTCTAACCAAACACAAGAGTTCATATTTTATGTAACATTTTAAAGCAAATTACGCCACAATGCTGTTGTTTATGTATAAACCTACGTAATACTGGATGGAGTAATGAGTAAATAATATTTAAAAAAAAAATAAAACTTCACAGAGTTTCTCACATTTTGAAAATGGTATATTTTTCTGTGATATATAAAACGTTAGTTTTTGCAGAGGTCCTCAAACTTTTAATCAGGGGGACCAGTTGAGATAACCGCGCACACCGTTAGGGCCGGAGTATAGTTAAAAAAAAAAAATGAATGGATTCTTGTGCCCACTGCATGTATCTAATTTGTAGTGTAAATAACAAGAGTGAAATAAAGTATCTAACAACATGGAGCAATTTTTAAGAAACATAAAACTATTGCTATTTCAATGAGAAGTAGGGTCCTGCTTTTCGTTAACTGGATGACCAATAACCGGTTCTTTATTTTTCACTACTACCCGGGTAACCGAACTGCGGGCAGGCGGGCCGGTTAGGATACCTGGCGGGTCGGATCTAGCCCGCGGGCCGTAGTTTGACCAGAGGCGTTCTCAAGCTGCTTTTGTGTGGCTAGCTATTAACCACGTTAAATCTCTTTTCCACATCAGGTAGCTCGGCAAAATAAATTCATTTGACTCCATTTAGTCACATGACTTCATTAAGTCACATGACTCATTTAATTCACATGAACCCATCGAGTGACGTGACAAAATAAGCCACACGACCTCATTTAATCAAATTGCCACAGCACGCGGTCCCCGCAGAAAGTAGAAACACGATCATTATCAAGTCACATGACTCCATTAAGTCATGTGACCATAATTATCACGTTACCCCCATCGAGTCATCAAATAATTAGTCACATGACTCGATTAGGTAAAACAAAACTAATTATTGTAACGACCTCATTTTTTTTGGTCACATGACGTCAGTTCGCCAGAACGCTTCATAAAAAGACATGAAAACATTACGCCTAATTAAAACATTAAGTCACGTGATCGATCGCCACCAATATGGTGGGTCACAAAAGGTCAGTTCGGTATTCAGCGCCAAGTTACGCGCAAGACTCCAACTGAAGTTGAAGTTCTTCTCCGTCTTGACTGAGTGCACTGTTTCCTTCAGATAATTTCCTCGGGGGGGGGGGGGGGTTTTAGTTTTTAGGCAGTGTATCTATCAGCACAAAATTGGTGACCAGGGCCACCTATACCGTCATATTATTCTGAAAATAGGGCAGCAATCGAAGGTACCGACAGCTCTTGAGCGAAGAGGGGGTATGGGGATAATCTCCCCACATTTTTTTTTTATTATTTAAGAATGAAAAGGTGTAGTGTGTTTCTGTTAAGCTATTGATCGGAAAGGGGGGAATAATCTTTTAAGCGTCATGAGAAGGCATTATGGCACCCACTATCATATATAAACAGATTTTACTCTGGCTGGGGTGCACCCCAGGGTAATAATTTGACACCAACTTAGATTTAACCCTTTACAGTCATATTGATCGGCGCGAAGGAAGGAGGGGGTGGGGGATCAGAAATTGAAAGTGTCGAAGACTCTGGAGTAAACGTGAGGCCAGGGGTCCCTTTATAACTTTAAAAAAAAAAAAAAATCAAAATGCAGGGATGCAATATGGCGCATAGTTTAAATAATTTTTTCGAAGCGCCAAAGTTAGTCACAATGAAGGTCAGAGAAATCTCTAACTTCGTGCCAGCCCAAAAACATGTACTAAATTCATTCTAGTTTTGGCGCCGTTGAAAGAATGCTTTTTTCGCGTAGCTTAGTCCTGCTCCTTAAATTTTTATAGTCCCAAAAATTAAAACTGCAGCAATGCATTCTAGCACATATCTGTATGTAGCCTTGCATTATTCTACACTTAATGGGAGAGCAACGAGAGAGATGCTATTTAAAAATATAGGTGTCACTTAACCTCAGGACCACCGTGCGGGCCATGCGACCCTTTACAACTGCAGAGGGCCTAGAATATTTCAGGGCCTAGAATATTTCAGGGCCTAGAATATTTCAGGGCCTAGAATATTTCAGGGCCTAGAATATTTCAGGGGCTCGAAATTGTGCTGCGGACACTTTCTTTGGTATCAGATTTAAATGCAAGTTGGCGGATGACAAAAAGTTACAATTGTGGCAGGGGCCTCGGAATGTCACGTGAGGGCTATGCTTGACATGCTTGACATGCTTGACATGCTTGACATGCTTGACATGCTTGACATGCTTGACATGCTTGACATGCTTGACATGCTTGACATGCTTGACATGCTTGACATGCTTGACATGCTTGACATGCTTGACGTGCTTGACATGCTTGACATGCTTGACATGCTTGACATGCTTGACATGCTTGACATGCTTGACATGCTTGACATGCTTGTGTTGGTTGACGGAAATTTATTTGAAAGAAATTTCGTCGTCGGAAAATTGAACGAAAGAAATTTGATCGAACGGAAGTTTGCTCGAATCGATAAAATTACGCATCGTTTTTTTTACTACATAGTATAGTGCGTTCAAAAAGAAATTTGACGAAAATTTTAACGTGTGAACTGAAAAAAAAAGACCTTACCAAACTTCCGTTCGATCAAATTTCCGTCGATCAAATTTCCGTCGATCAAATTTCCGTCGATCAATTTTCCGTCGACGAAATTTCTTTCAAACAAATTTCTGGATACGGCTTGTGTTTTACAAATATTTAAAAAAAAATACTACTAAATAACAATGTGTTTTTAATATTTATTTCAACTATTTTTGGGGTTAAGTACTTTATGGTTAATAAATTAATTTTTTTTAAAATCCTTCCAAAATATATTTCCATCCCAACAACTTACAAATAATAATTACACTCGAGTTAAGCTCGAGACTAGTCCCGGAGTGGAGGTAAGGCCGTGCCACACCAAGGAACGTACGGCGCCCTGGGTGGTGGGGGGGGGCAACGCAACGCCATCCCCGGAGAGGACGCAAAGCCATTCCAACCCAACGTCCAGACCCCAAGACCCATTGGGCAAGGGGTGTTGTTACACAAAACTATTCCCTCATGAGTGGAAGCAAACTGCCCAGCACTTCTTTTACTCGAGAATGCGTTGTATGGCCGAAGTCCCCAGGGACTACTAGGCCATGTTTCATGGCCGAGGTCCTAAGAGATTAGAATCTCGATCTCCTAGAGTATTGAACCTTAATAAACTTAAAGAGAACAAAATAACAACATGGTTTGTACACTCAGAATGAAACGCTGGGTCAAACAAATTTTTAAGAAAAAAATAATTTAAAAACTGATAAAAGATTTTATAATACTAATAAAAAAAATTATATAATTAAAATAATTCAATGTAAAATATTTAAGTGCAGCAAAATTTGTTAATAAAATAAATAAAAAAATAAAATGACATGGATGCAGTCGTAGGATAGGTCAACACATTACGTTTACTTATTCATATCACATTTTGCTAGTGATACATTTTTCATGTGTCAAATCATCTTCCATTTAAAAAAAAAAAGTTTCACAGAGTCCAGCAAGTCGGACAATTCACTGTAAAAAGAGTAGCATCTAATTACAGGTCATACACATCAATAAACTCGTTCAGAGATTCACATGAAGATGCCAGTGTCCTTTGAATGTTTGGAATTGGTATTATTCATAAAATAATTCAATTTATTAAATGGTTATTCTAAGATATATAATATACTAGAGGATATTATAGTTATTATTAAAAAATAGTTCATATTCTATACTTAATACAGAAAATGTATTTTTATATGGACAGGAAATTCTTTTAAAGCAGTGGTTCTCAACCTTCCTAATGCCGCGACCCTTTAATACAGTGCCTCATGTTTCGTTGCTACTTCATAAATTTTTGTTTTCCGATGGTCTTAGACGACCCCTGTGTATGTGTCGTTCGATTCCCCCTCCCCTCAGGGGTCGCGAACCACAGGTTGAGAACCGCTGTTTTAAAGAGTTAAGTAAAAATCTAGCTAATCCTAGTAACTAATAATGGCTGTCGTTAAACCATTTTTATACAGTCACTGGGGACCTCCTTCTTGACAACATAAAAGCTGGCCACGGATGACCTCGGGAACCAGAATACCAGAATGGAGGCAATGTTCTCAAGTATACAGGCTACTAACCCACACATCATCGTGGCTAAGACGAGGAGAATACACTTCCAGATGCCATACCGGTGGACGCTGAACGTCTGGAGTGTGCCTAGGATAAACAAATAGAGGATAGTTCCCAAGATGAAACTGTAGGTGACGGTAATGATGGGTGAGGACGGTAGTGGCCAGATAAGGCTGATTGGGACCATAAGGAGGTTGGCTGGAAGTGTGCACCCTGAGAAGCTCATCAGCACGGGGCCGAGTTTGTACCTGAGAGGGATCTTGGCGCTAAGCGCTGTCAGTAAAATGCCCTGCATCCAGCGTCGGCGCTGCTGGATGAAATCCTTGAGGGTAAACGTGCTTTTCTCCAGCATTTCTCCTTCCACAAAGCCAAAGCTGTAACCTTTACTGAAAGCCACGCAGGCGAAGAAGCAGTCTTCCGCGATGGAAGCCTCCGGACCGTGATCGAAGGAGATTTTCTTCTCTGCTTCGGCGTCCGCCACTATGAAGGATCCTTTCCAACTGAAGACTGGTTTATGAAGAATGCCTAACGTGAACCTCAAACAACCGTAGTCTACACCAACCCGTATAGAGTCGGCCAGGGTTGTCACCCAGTTGATGATTTTCCCACTTCCGTATGTGATGACACCTTGACCAAAAGCGTGTTCTCCAGCTCCAGTGAAGTTGATGATGCCTATCACTGCTTCTTCGGTCAGAAGCGTCTCCTCGTCAAGGTGGACGATCCAATCCCCGGGGCTTAATATGTCTACTTCCGGTTCTAAGGCGTACTGGAGTGCTCTCGCTTTAAATAGAGACCCGGATGATGTTTTATAGTTTTTGGGTACCAGAATTTCCCGGCTGTCTTTCGTCGACTTCAGATTAATGGGGATGTCGGTAACAACCTCAAAGATATAGTTGTGTAGGCCAACTTTGCGGCACACTTGAAGATTCAGTTTCATATTCTCGTTCACGAGTTCCGGGTACAGCCCTTTGGTGACCACTCGAAAACACAAAAAGGGCCCCAATAAAGGGGACCGCTGGAGCTTCGGCCGTTGAGTGAAGACATTGATCAGGACGACACCGAGGAAGTTGAAAATGAAAAATCCGGGTACAGCCCTTTGGTGACCACTCGAAAACACAAAAAGGGCCCCAATAAAGGGGACCGCTGGAGCTTCGGCCGTTGAGTGAAGACATTGATCAGGACGACACCGAGGAAGTTGAAAATGAAAAAGGGCAGTGGAATAAATACTGAGATTTGTATGAGGTACAACAGCATGCTAACGAAGAGGCCGTAGTGCTCTACGGCGCTGAAGTCCGAGTGGAGGAGCCCCCCGTGGACGTTCACAGAGAGGCAGATCAGGCTGACGAGCACCATGACAGACAGGGCGTGCTTGACGTGCCGCACGGAGACGCAGGACGGGGCCTCCATGAGGCACTGCATGAAGCTCCGAGGGCGGCAGGCTTGCGGGCTGATTCGGGGCAAACTCTTGGGCAGCAGTAAATGGGCCAGGCTGAAGATGGCCAGGATCAGATGGAGGAGTGTGAATATGGGGACGAGCCAGAGACTTTGTTTGGGCCAGCAGTTGAAGATCGGTCTGCTCATTTTGCGAGACATTCACGCAGTAGGGGGATGACACACATGTGTAATCCAGTACGGCGATTATTTTTCCCAGAGATTACAATCCAGCGATTATATGTTATCGCATTTTACTTTTCAAAACTTATCTGTCAAAGGTAATAAGTGTTTAATTAAATAATGCATTCTGAATAGATTTTCTACACTGATGGTTTAAAATATTGAATTAAAAAAAAAATATATGATAATGCATTTTTTCTCCGTTTGGTCCCTTTATTCCCAAGTTATCTGAATGTTTGCAAAATTGAAAGTTGATTGAAACATAAAATATAGTGTCTTTTCTCAATGCGTTTTTTTAGGTCAAATGCCTTGTCAATGATTTGTATAGATCAAGTCCTTTGTCAATGATTTTTATGTATCAAGTCCTTTGTCAATGAGTTTTATAGGTAAAGTCCTTTGTCAGTGAGATTTATAGTATAGGTTGAGTCCTTTGTCAATGAGTTTAAGACGTTGAGTCCTTTGTCAATGATTTTTATAGGTTGAGTCCTTTGTCAATGAGTTTTATAGGTCAAGTCCTTTGTCAATGAGTTTTGTAGGTTGAGTCCTTTGTCAATAAGTTTTAGAGGTCGAGTCTTTTGTCAAAAAGATTCAAAGGTCAAAATCCTGTTCAGAATATTTCGTCCTGATTGGCAAATGTGTATGCTTTAATGAATTTGCTTTACATGACAATGATATCTCGCATACCAACCTACCTGCAAATAACCCTTTTTTTGCATGTGCCGTAGTTACGGTATTTTGTGTGTTGTGCAGGTAGAGAACGGATCCTGCAAATGCGAAGGCTATTTTATTTTTGGCAGTACTGCCTGTAACGCTGGGTTCCGGCGGGCTCTGTCGTTTGTTGGTTGCGGAGTCAACCACTAAACCAAACACTCCATGCCGTCGTCTGCTATTGAATTTTCATCTCCTTCCATCGATTTTTGCCTCCTTCTGGGGATTTGTATGAAGGAAAAAAAGTTGTAATTTAGAAATATTACAAGGATGTGTTTGCTGGCGACACATCATAAAACAGAAATAATATGTGTTTGCTGGCGACACATCGTAAAACAGACATAATATGTGTTTGCTGGCGAAACATCGTAAAAGAATAATACAGACATGAGATTTTTTGGGGCGGAGATATTTGGCAAATGTGAAATAAAGTGTCCTGGTTTGAACGGTAATGAATATGTGAATTGCGAGTCATCAAAAGTCAGTAGGCTGTGCTTGTATTTGACATGACAAATAACAACGTTAAACTAAATGTCACATCGATATCTCGTGGCAGCACTGTCACATTGATATCTCGTGGCAGCACTGTCACATTGATATCTCGTGTCAGCACTGTCACATTGATACCTCGTGGCAGCACTGTGACGTGAATGTGACTTGGATGCATGGGCACCCGCAGGTAGGGGCAAGGTGGGGCACTTGCCCCCCCCCCCTCTGGATTGATTGGATACAAATTTTTTAGACACAAATAGACAAAAATTTATTAAAGTAAAGAGAAAATAAAGAGAAAGTAACTAAGCTGATGTCATGTCCGTTCGTTCACCATACAAATACGCTACAGTGAATTACAACTACATTAAACATTACTAAAAATTTTTTGCCCCCCAAACCTGGAAGTTAATCGATTTTTTTCCCTCTTACCCCCCCCCCCTCCCCCTAGAAACTTTTCTGCGGGCGACCATGCTTGGATGTACCCAATTATTGTTGCAAGCATATCAAGTGCTCTGAGATTATTCAACTTCCGCTATCGCGGAACCCATTAAGATCGCGAGGCCTTGAATTATTTTTATTTCACTTAAAGCAAAGGTAGTCAAGGTAGGAAAGGTAAAATAGATGACACATTTTCTGTAAGGCTGGAACGTATCCAAGGCCCCTGAAACACCCGCGCAGTCCAGCGTGAGAACCATTGACCTAGTTGAATAACATGGTGGATGTGAAATAAATAAGGCGAATAAATAAAAGCTTCATCTCAAGCGTAATATATGAACGTGGCATAGATTGGAAAATATCTGTGTTTTTTTTGTTTGTTTGTTTATGGTACAGAAAAGTTTGAAATGCTGAGTGCTATTCAAAGTGTTTCTGTGAATTAAAACGTGCAATAATTATTATTCTAAAACGGTTACCGGAAATTTGAGAGAAAGAAATTTCGTCGACGGTAAATTGATCGACGGTAATTTGATCGAACGGAAATTTGGTCGAATCTTTTTTTCCGTTCGCACGTTGAAATTTTCGTCAAATTTCTTTTTGAACGCACTATACTATTTAGTAAAACAAAATAATTCGTTCAAAAAGAAATTTGATGCAAAATTGCTACGTAAAAATTGAAAAGAAGATTCGACCAAATTTCCGTTCGATCATATTACCGTCGACGAAATTTCTTTCGATCAAATTTCCGGATACGTTTTAAAGCAACTACTAAAAACATGAACAGTGAGTCTCGCGCCTAGACTAAAAGCTGCCCCGGGGCGAATTCTCAAAATTGCGCACCGTAACACACATCATGTATATAACGCTATATACAATCTTCAAATGTCCATAAACCCCTAGGCTCGTTCAAACACCCATAGGTTCGTCCTAAAACATCTAGGTTCGTCCACACTCATCCACACTCATTTTCTACCAATGACCGTTGAGCCTTCATCTCATCCCCATCGTCTTGGCAGACAGCCGTCTTCGCATGACATGGGACATGGGACAACACTTACGTCAATGCTACTTTGTGGTTGGTTTGGAAGGAACCACATTTTTACCACAAAAGTATTACAAAGAACACGACCCGTGATTCACGTGGCGACAAAGACACATGGCACTGACAAGGTACACTATATCGATTCAAAGTTTCCGTGACGCATCACTCGTGTCTAGTTGTGGGCGCGAGACACCAACGAGGAAACAAAACAAAGCAAAGACAACCAAACGAAATACTTTTTTTGTAAAATCATGTTATTGGGTTGTCCATTCAGTCATAAGTTCTGTGGCAATTGCAGTTTTGTGGTTCGTGTAACGGCGCTCTCTCTCTCCCAAATAAACATGTCATTTTTAGGTTGTGATTGAAGTGCCTCTGAAGAGTAGGGTTGAAATAGAAGGGGCTGGGGTATATGGCCGGAGATTGAACGAACAATGATAAAGATGGAAGGGAGAGAGAGAGAGGGAGAGAGAGAGGGAGAGAGAGAGGGAGAGAGAGAGGAAGAGAGAGAGAGGGAGAGAGAGTGGATAGAGAGGGAGAGAGAAGGGGAGGGAGGCAGAGAGAGAAGGGGAGGGAGGGAAAGATAGAGAAATGGAGAGAGAGGGAGAGAGAGGTAGAGCGAGAGAGAGGGAGATTGAGGTAGAGCGAGAGAGAGAGAGAGGGAGGAAGAGAGATAAGGAGAGGAAGAGAGAGAGAGGAAAATTTATATAGAGAGATATAGAGCGAGAGAGAGAGAGAGAGAGAGGGAGAGAGAGAGAAGGAAGAAAGAAAGACACAGTATGCCGAAGACGATTCGAGAATTAAGAAGAGAGGAATTAGGTTACACATTAAGCAGCATGAGGACAAAGAAATTCAATTTGAAACGTGTGTGTGGTTGAGGGCTACGAGACAGTGGGAAACCCGACCGCACAGAAAGTAACATGAACCTTGAGTTATTTTTGTGTCATGGAAAGTCTTTCAATAAAAGATTAGCTTTTTGGTTGGTTTCCGCCTCACACACACACACACAAACACACGAATACACGCACACACAGAGACAGACAGAAAGAAACAAGAGGAATTTAACTCAAGGCTTTCAATAAAACCAAGCAATCAGGAAGGTATCAAAAGGCTTTTAACAATGGGACATTTCTGGCAGTAGTTCACAGACACTTCTCTCTATGTTTCTCCCTCCTCCCCGTCTTTCTCTCTCTCTCTCTCTCTCTCTCTCTCTCTCTCTCTCTCCCTCCCCCCCCTCTCTCTCTCTCTCTCTCTCTCTCCCTCTCTCTCTCTCTCTCTCTCTCTCTCTCTCTCTCTCTCTCTCTCTCTCTCTCTCTCTCTCTCTCTCTCTCTCTCTCTCTCTCGTACCATACTCTTAGAAGTGGCCGTAGCGGGGCGAACGTCCAAGTGCACGAACTTGTGGGGGTCCTTACAATATTATTTATTATCAATAAATCCAGACCGTACCTGTTCTTAGTTCGTGTTTTCCTGTCAACACAATGTCGGAGGAACAAGATAATCAAATGACGAGTCTGTCCTTCTCCCCGGACTATCCCTCCATGTTCAGTCACGTTATAACCCGTAAGTGAACATGAAACCTGCCTGTTTTGTAAAGTACGACCAGAAGATGTTTACATTTTCTGCTTGCCGTGGTCGTAGGGCATATGCAAGATCTTGCTGACATCGGCTGTGCAACTTGACGTAGCCAGGACACTTTTCCAAGGTCTAATCTGTTTTTTTTTCACCAAACACGGAGACGAAATATTTGTAGCAACAATGGTCACTGCATAGGAAATTCCATCTAAATT